AAGACTTCTAGGGGAGCTACACCACTTGTGGAAGACTTCTAGGGGAGCTACACCACTTGTGGAAGACTTCTAGGGGAGCTACACCACTTGTGGAAGACTTCTAGGGGAGCTACACCACTTGTGGAAGACTTCTAGGGGAGCTACACCACTTGTGGAAGACTTCTAGGGGAGCTACACCACTTGTGGAAGACTTCTAGGGGAGCTACACCACTTGTGGAAGACTTCTAGGGGAGCTACACCACTTGTGGAAGACTTCTAGGGGAGCTACACCACTTGTGGAAGACTTCTAGGGGAGCTACACCACTTGTGGAAGACTTCTAGGGGAGCTACACCACTTGTGGAAGACTTCTAGGGGAGCTACACCACTTGTGGAAGACTTCTAGGGGAGCTACACCACTTGTGGAAGACTTCTAGGGGAGCTACACCACTTGTGGAAGACTTCTAGGGGAGCTACACCACTTGTGGAAGACTTCTAGGGGAGCTACACCACTTGTGGAAGACTTCTAGGGGAGCTACACCACTTGTGGAAGACTTCTAGGGGAGCTACACCACTTGTGGAAGACTTCTAGGGGAGCTACACCACTTGTGGAAGACTTCTAGGGGAGCTACACCACTTGTGGAAGACTTCTAGGGGAGCTACACCACTTGTGGAAGACTTCTAGGGGAGCTACACCACTTGTGGAAGACTTCTAGGGGAGCTACACCACTTGTGGAAGACTTCTAGGGGAGCTACACCACTTGTGGAAGACTTCTAGGGGAGCTACACCACTTGTGGAAGACTTCTAGGGGAGCTACACCACTTGTGGAAGACTTCTAGGGGAGCTACACCACTTGTGGAAGACTTCTAGGGGAGCTACACCACTTGTGGAAGACTTCTAGGGGAGCTACACCACTTGTGGAAGACTTCTAGGGGAGCTACACCACTTGTGGAAGACTTCTAGGGGAGCTACACCACTTGTGGAAGACTTCTAGGGGAGCTACACCACTTGTGGAAGACTTCTAGGGGAGCTACACCACTTGTGGAAGACTTCTAGGGGAGCTACACCACTTGTGGAAGACTTCTAGGGGAGCTACACCACTTGTGGAAGACTTCTAGGGGAGCTACACCACTTGTGGAAGACTTCTAGGGGAGCTACACCACTTGTGGAAGACTTCTAGGGGAGCTACACCACTTGTGGAAGACTTCTAGGGGAGCTACACCACTTGTGGAAGACTTCTAGGGGAGCTACACCACTTGTGGAAGACTTCTAGGGGAGCTACACCACTTGTGGAAGACTTCTAGGGGAGCTACACCACTTGTGGAAGACTTCTAGGGGAGCTACACCACTTGTGGAAGACTTCTAGGGGAGCTACACCACTTGTGGAAGACTTCTAGGGGAGCTACACCACTTGTGGAAGACTTCTAGGGGAGCTACACCACTTGTGGAAGACTTCTAGGGGAGCTACACCACTTGTGGAAGACTTCTAGGGGAGCTACACCACTTGTGGAAGACTTCTAGGGGAGCTACACCACTTGTGGAAGACTTCTAGGGGAGCTACACCACTTGTGGAAGACTTCTAGGGGAGCTACACCACTTGTGGAAGACTTCTAGGGGAGCTACACCACTTGTGGAAGACTTCTAGGGGAGCTACACCACTTGTGGAAGACTTCTAGGGGAGCTACACCACTTGTGGAAGACTTCTAGGGGAGCTACACCACTTGTGGAAGACTTCTAGGGGAGCTACACCACTTGTGGAAGACTTCTAGGGGAGCTACACCACTTGTGGAAGACTTCTAGGGGAGCTACACCACTTGTGGAAGACTTCTAGGGGAGCTACACCACTTGTGGAAGACTTCTAGGGGAGCTACACCACTTGTGGAAGACTTCTAGGGGAGCTACACCACTTGTGGAAGACTTCTAGGGGAGCTACACCACTTGTGGAAGACTTCTAGGGGAGCTACACCACTTGTGGAAGACTTCTAGGGGAGCTACACCACTTGTGGAAGACTTCTAGGGGAGCTACACCACTTGTGGAAGACTTCTAGGGGAGCTACACCACTTGTGGAAGACTTCTAGGGGAGCTACACCACTTGTGGAAGACTTCTAGGGGAGCTACACCACTTGTGGAAGACTTCTAGGGGAGCTACACCACTTGTGGAAGACTTCTAGGGGAGCTACACCACTTGTGGAAGACTTCTAGGGGAGCTACACCACTTGTGGAAGACTTCTAGGGGAGCTACACCACTTGTGGAAGACTTCTAGGGGAGCTACACCACTTGTGGAAGACTTCTAGGGGAGCTACACCACTTGTGGAAGACTTCTAGGGGAGCTACACCACTTGTGGAAGACTTCTAGGGGAGCTACACCACTTGTGGAAGACTTCTAGGGGAGCTACACCACTTGTGGAAGACTTCTAGGGGAGCTACACCACTTGTGGAAGACTTCTAGGGGAGCTACACCACTTGTGGAAGACTTCTAGGGGAGCTACACCACTTGTGGAAGACTTCTAGGGGAGCTACACCACTTGTGGAAGACTTCTAGGGGAGCTACACCACTTGTGGAAGACTTCTAGGGGAGCTACACCACTTGTGGAAGACTTCTAGGGGAGCTACACCACTTGTGGAAGACTTCTAGGGGAGCTACACCACTTGTGGAAGACTTCTAGGGGAGCTACACCACTTGTGGAAGACTTCTAGGGGAGCTACACCACTTGTGGAAGACTTCTAGGGGAGCTACACCACTTGTGGAAGACTTCTAGGGGAGCTACACCACTTGTGGAAGACTTCTAGGGGAGCTACACCACTTGTGGAAGACTTCTAGGGGAGCTACACCACTTGTGGAAGACTTCTAGGGGAGCTACACCACTTGTGGAAGACTTCTAGGGGAGCTACACCACTTGTGGAAGACTTCTAGGGGAGCTACACCACTTGTGGAAGACTTCTAGGGGAGCTACACCACTTGTGGAAGACTTCTAGGGGAGCTACACCACTTGTGGAAGACTTCTAGGGGAGCTACACCACTTGTGGAAGACTTCTAGGGGAGCTACACCACTTGTGGAAGACTTCTAGGGGAGCTACACCACTTGTGGAAGACTTCTAGGGGAGCTACACCACTTGTGGAAGACTTCTAGGGGAGCTACACCACTTGTGGAAGACTTCTAGGGGAGCTACACCACTTGTGGAAGACTTCTAGGGGAGCTACACCACTTGTGGAAGACTTCTAGGGGAGCTACACCACTTGTGGAAGACTTCTAGGGGAGCTACACCACTTGTGGAAGACTTCTAGGGGAGCTACACCACTTGTGGAAGACTTCTAGGGGAGCTACACCACTTGTGGAAGACTTCTAGGGGAGCTACACCACTTGTGGAAGACTTCTAGGGGAGCTACACCACTTGTGGAAGACTTCTAGGGGAGCTACACCACTTGTGGAAGACTTCTAGGGGAGCTACACCACTTGTGGAAGACTTCTAGGGGAGCTACACCACTTGTGGAAGACTTCTAGGGGAGCTACACCACTTGTGGAAGACTTCTAGGGGAGCTACACCACTTGTGGAAGACTTCTAGGGGAGCTACACCACTTGTGGAAGACTTCTAGGGGAGCTACACCACTTGTGGAAGACTTCTAGGGGAGCTACACCACTTGTGGAAGACTTCTAGGGGAGCTACACCACTTGTGGAAGACTTCTAGGGGAGCTACACCACTTGTGGAAGACTTCTAGGGGAGCTACACCACTTGTGGAAGACTTCTAGGGGAGCTACACCACTTGTGGAAGACTTCTAGGGGAGCTACACCACTTGTGGAAGACTTCTAGGGGAGCTACACCACTTGTGGAAGACTTCTAGGGGAGCTACACCACTTGTGGAAGACTTCTAGGGGAGCTACACCACTTGTGGAAGACTTCTAGGGGAGCTACACCACTTGTGGAAGACTTCTAGGGGAGCTACACCACTTGTGGAAGACTTCTAGGGGAGCTACACCACTTGTGGAAGACTTCTAGGGGAGCTACACCACTTGTGGAAGACTTCTAGGGGAGCTACACCACTTGTGGAAGACTTCTAGGGGAGCTACACCACTTGTGGAAGACTTCTAGGGGAGCTACACCACTTGTGGAAGACTTCTAGGGGAGCTACACCACTTGTGGAAGACTTCTAGGGGAGCTACACCACTTGTGGAAGACTTCTAGGGGAGCTACACCACTTGTGGAAGACTTCTAGGGGAGCTACACCACTTGTGGAAGACTTCTAGGGGAGCTACACCACTTGTGGAAGACTTCTAGGGGAGCTACACCACTTGTGGAAGACTTCTAGGGGAGCTACACCACTTGTGGAAGACTTCTAGGGGAGCTACACCACTTGTGGAAGACTTCTAGGGGAGCTACACCACTTGTGGAAGACTTCTAGGGGAGCTACACCACTTGTGGAAGACTTCTAGGGGAGCTACACCACTTGTGGAAGACTTCTAGGGGAGCTACACCACTTGTGGAAGACTTCTAGGGGAGCTACACCACTTGTGGAAGACTTCTAGGGGAGCTACACCACTTGTGGAAGACTTCTAGGGGAGCTACACCACTTGTGGAAGACTTCTAGGGGAGCTACACCACTTGTGGAAGACTTCTAGGGGAGCTACACCACTTGTGGAAGACTTCTAGGGGAGCTACACCACTTGTGGAAGACTTCTAGGGGAGCTACACCACTTGTGGAAGACTTCTAGGGGAGCTACACCACTTGTGGAAGACTTCTAGGGGAGCTACACCACTTGTGGAAGACTTCTAGGGGAGCTACACCACTTGTGGAAGACTTCTAGGGGAGCTACACCACTTGTGGAAGACTTCTAGGGGAGCTACTTTTGGTTTCTTGTATTTGCTGCACACTTCTTGTTTGTTTTAAGTCCTCAACCAATTTGCTAAATTTAATAGTTGTATGGAAATGGGTGTTTTTTAATTTGAGCAGAAATAACTTTTCTTAACTTCCTCCCTTTTAATTTCATTTTTATATTCTCCTGAATTTGGGTCATGGCAGGTCCTTATCATGGTGGTGTGTGGAAAATAAGGGTTGAACTTCCTGATGCTTATCCATATAAATCTCCATCAATAGGCTTTGTTAATAAGATCTACCACCCAAATGTTGATGAGATGTGAGTAAAATGTTAAAAATAGTCTACAATTTTCTATGATGGGTACTGTACCATATTTGTTTGCTGAAAGAGGAATGGTTTCCATGTCTGACAATCTTGGTGAATTTAATTACAGGTCAGGCTCTGTGTGTTTAGATGTCATTAATCAGACCTGGAGCCCTATGTTTGGTAAAAGGAGTTATATTGCTGCGTTTGGCTCTTTGACCTGATTATGTTTTTTTTATTATTTTTTGTTATTGACAATTAAACAAAAGTGTACGGATAAACTTATTGCTAATCTCATTGTTACTTGAATGTAAACACTTGAGAAAAAGTAGTGGTTCAGATAGTGTTTTGCGTTAAGTAACAAACGTGATTTCTAACCATGCTTTAACATAGAATGGGAAATAAGTTTATCTATACAATAATTCTTTAATTTTGAATTTAAAAAACGCAATCAAGTACTTTAAGTTACCTTTTAATTAAATAGTTAAGAGTGATCTTGCTAGCCATGTTTTGCCAGATCTGGTAAATGTATTTGAAGTGTTCCTTCCACAACTTCTGTTGTATCCTAACCCATCGGACCCGTTGAATGGGGAGGCGGCAGCTCTCATGATGCGTGATCGAACTGCTTACGACCAAAGAGTTAAAGGTATTGAAACTTTTTTGAAGTTATATGCTTGCCGTTATGCATGCTCTGCAATGATAATGTTGCTTGGATGAAAATCCCCTACTTCTTTTCCTTAATATATCTGAAAAGGGTTTGACTATTATAGATGTTCATACCAAATGAGGTTTAGATGCAGCCTTTTAAGGTCTGCATTATGTGATATTTATGTTTCTTAAGCATCTTGGGACTACGCAAAAACTAAATCCTTTTTTTGTCTTTCCAGTCATCCATATCTAAGCAATAAACACGTGTGTCCCCATGAGTCTGAAGCATGTCTGAGTCTAAAATAAATTTTAAAAAATAAGACACATTTCGACGTGTATGCAATACTTGTTGGAAAGTGTTAGATGAGTGTTATTGTCCAACAACACAAACATGCCACCTTCTTATAAGTATTTGTGCTTCTTAGCTTGCATGACAATTTACATTGTCTCTTAAGAGTCCTTTCATACTTTTAAAATGAAAGAAAAGTTAAGAAAACAAAGATTTCCATTGAAGTTAAGTTTGCTAATTCACATTGAAGGTATGTTTCCTAAAGAGTAATATTTGTTGTTTCAGTTCTGGAACTTTGTTTTTGCTTGCATTGTCTTTTGTGGCACACAATTTTGCAACCATTTCGACCGCCTCTGCCTCCATATTAGCCACTACAATGTTGTTTGCCCATGATGTTGTTGCACCCTAAATACTACAATTACCATGTATCTTGTTTAATGGCAGTTGCTACCTGTAGAAATTTAATGTATAAAGAGAAATAGAGAATTGTATAGATATTGATTGTATTATTGATTGATTTCAATTTGTATACAATGACTCTCCTATATATAGAAGAGAAAAAACATATTCACCTACCACACTCAACTCTCACCTAACACACTCAACTCTACCAACCACACTTATAGCCCCCCTCAAACTCAAGGGGGATAGGAACTAACCAACTTGAGTTTGGAGAGAGTAACAAAACAAGAAAATACATAAAAATAAAAGAGGATAGGAGACACTGTATGGTCGTGTCAGACCATTGGTGAAGACACTGGATGGTGGTGTCATAACGTTGTAGAGGACACTGTATGGGGGTGTCATAACCATGTAGAGGACACTGTATGGTGGTGTCAGACCGATGTAGAAGACAGTTTATGGGGTCATGTCGGACCGTTGTAG